CACGTGCGTGTGTGATGGTGACAGTGGTAACGTGGTCATATAATACACTCGTATATATACACGCACAGGGGCCATTCTCTGATGTTGTGTGACACACGGAGGAGACACGCTGAAATGCAAACAAACTCGCTAAATTAAAGCTGGGGTACCTACATTTTCCCTTTCATTAACAGCTCTTGTTGGTTGTACCCAAAAGTAAAAGGTTGTGAGCAAGTCAAACAGATTTAAGTACATTTGGTATCAATAACAATGTGTCATTACATTTGAAAATCTCATTTAACTTCAATTGGAGTGGATTTGAAATAGGATGCTTAAAATGCGATTAATCGTGAGTTAACTCACCATTACTATGCGATTAATCAACTAAAAAAAATTAATCGTTTGACAGCCCTACTACAAATAAATAAATACATACATCGATATGACGGAAATATCACTGGAATGTTGTATTTTTATTAAACTTCACCAAAGAGGACAACCCCGGCGTGTGAACATGTCGGCACTGAATGCGTACGAGTGCTCCTGAGGACTCGTAGGATTTGTACTTGCCCAAGAGAAATTCTGGTAACGAGAAAAATTCGTGAATGCCACTTTCTTCGTAAAAACCTCGTAAGTAGGATTTACGTACAAATCTGTTCCTAAGAACCGTTCGTGAATGAGGCCCAGTGTTTTTTGTACAGTGAGAATGACGCTATTGACACAAAAGGGGAACTTATTTGACAACACAATGTGAAACCCATTGTAAACAGATCACACACAGTTCTACATTCTCTATTGATAGTCTACATTCTTGTATAATATAGATCTCAAGTTCATAGAACAATATCAATCCAACTATTGTTATAAACTGCCTGTGTCAGGACCTGTCATGACCTCTTCAACCAGCTACAGCTCTCTCCCATAAAGTCAGGGAGAAAATGGAATCACCACCGCTGCAAAAACGCCTTCTGACATCTAAACCATTATAACATTAATATTTGATCACAACATAAAAGGTCTCTGAGTACAGCTTGTCCATACATAGTGTACAAACACTGGATTTAAAACTATTCAAGCTCTGCACAAGTAAATGCATACTTTCTTTAGAGTCCATGAATGATTAACACAGATTACTATAATGTGTCTTATGAAAGCCAGTTCCAACGGTTCGCAAACGGTTTGAATGTTTTGTCTCAAACAAACAAAATCTATTTGGAATTGTTTAAAAGAGCACAAAAATCTACATATAGTCATCAAAGACCACAGGGAGAATACCACTCATCATTGCTCCGTGCGAGTAATCTGTAGAATATAAAATAAGTTATAAAACACGAACAGGTCCCACCGCTTGCATTCCCCACACACTGATCATTTTGCTCAACATCACTGTCTTACATGTACTTACTTTGGTAAAACTTTAACAAGAAAAATGTAATATACTTAATAAAAGAGGCTCATGCTTGTTCAGTGAGCAACAGTCTGACATCAGCAAATACACGGTACACGATTGGATCTTTCTTGCAAATATATGAATTAGAAATATGTTTGAACATGTTATAATAATGTATCCTGAATATTACATTAATTTACCATATTTTAGTCTTAAGTATTAAGGCATGTGTAGACGTATCTGTGCCTATCTTTTCTCTAATCAGAAGCTCATTAAGTACAGAACTGATCTTCACCCAGGGTTTTGTTCTTTTCCGTCATGAGCTGCTTGAACACTGCACAATTCTGTTCTGTTCATGGACACTCCAAGGCGACATCAATTTACCGCATTGAGTTTGTCCTTTGAGACGAAGAAGATGCTGCAGATTCACGAAGAAGCAACAACAACTACAAAGCTCAATTCAACATATTCAGTATGATATAAAAGAAAACAGGAGGAGTTAGCAGTGTGCTCTCCTAATGCATTATTCACCCCCAACTGTACAACTCTCCATAAACGTTAAAGCTGAGGTACCTGAGATTCTTTTTTACTCACATAATGATCTGTGTTTGTCCCAACAGAAAGAGTTATGTAAAAGAAAGATATTGTGAACAAAACACCACGACATGGTCTTCATCGAGCTGGAAAACATTGTCTACACTTGGAGCCCAGTGAGTCACGAGCTGATGCTTTGATCTGATTGGCTGAGTGAGGGACGCTATGAAAACAATTACATTTTATTAAAACAGACATTGATTAAGGGGAAAAAAATGAATGGATGGATGGATGGTTTATTTTAGGTACCCCAACATTAATCTTCTTATGGCAAAATCTGTTTTTATATTTATATTATAAGTAAATTTGTCACCATAGAAACTAGTCTGTTTTTCGTCTCAACTATTCGACTATCGGACCATAGCTTTAAATCAGTGTTAAAGAAACTCAATTATAATGCAGCACATTCTTATAGTATGAATCCTACATGCTGCTCATCGTATCAAATACTCCAAAAAGCTTATTGTGACGGAGAATTCAATTACGTTGCAAACAGAGACATAATAAAATAATTCCATGGCTGAAGGTTAATGCTAGTTTCACCTGCGCCCCAAATATATTCACAAACCCGGAGCCCATTTTGCTGAGTGAACGGCGGGACAAGGGTTGAACACATTGGTCTGTAATAAATTTCCCTGCGGTGACCAGAGAGGGCAGCGGTGAGTGCGGTGCGTCTATTGTTCATGAATAATAAAAGTGCGTTCACTGATCCTATTCTTCTGCTCGACAAACCACCTCTGACCTGCAACTTCACACTGCCCCAGTTCGCCACAGCTCAAAGAAAACATCAAGAAAACTGTCTTTTTAATGTTCTGTGATTTGAATGCTTTCTTATTCTGTTCAGCACTTTGAATTGCCTTGTGTATGAATTGTGCTATATAAATAAACTTGCCTTGCCTTTATTTCGTTTGTGCTATTTTTGACATTGTGATTTTGTATCTGTATCTAGTGAGTCCCGCCCCCACACGTTCCTGACTGGACGCAACTGACAGCTGATGCCCCTCCCTATAGGTCTGATAGGTCTGTTCCGACTGGGGATTTGAACCCAGGACCTTCTTGCTGTTATGTTACGTTGCAATATGTCTAAAGCTCAAATAAGAAATGTTTGTGAATTATCGGCTGTAGACTTACAACAACATTGAACTGAACACTAAGCACATATGGATGAGAAACTGTTAAGATACATTATGATGTTGTTGACAAAGTGCTAACACAGGTGTAAATGTCCGTAATAGGATTTAAGACTCAGGGTTAGTAATATCAACTAAAGCGCAGCCCTCCCGATGGTAGCATACTCTGGATATCTGTCAAAATAGATTCATAAAAGGGACCACAAATGTCCAGTTAATTTGCCTAGAGCTCCATTCATTGGTCGTTCAGGTCAAACTGAAATTACTCTCTTCACAATACTCAGAGCTGCTACTTGAGTCTTTTCTCTTCTCAGACAGCACTCAAAGCAGTTCCATACATACTGTGCATAAATACTGCATGAGGTAATAACGCTCTGCTCTTAGTGGACCATAAATTGCTTCAACTTCAACTCACAACCGGAAAAAAGACAAATGTGTACCTTTGGCTTAAACATGATGAATGGACTGTACTTATTACTTTATACAGACTTATGAGGACACTTACTGTATGTGCTACTGTGTCCGTGAGCCTGCAGGGAACTATGGACACATTCAGCAACTTATGAAACAGTTTCTTTTCTTAACACGACCCTTTGATTAAACAGGTATGAACTCACAAACTACCAAAGAGAGTGAAGTCATCTGAATAGTTCATCAATCACATAGAAGCATTAGAAGCGTCATAAACTGTTATAAACTGTTTGAACAATTGAGCTGTACATGTTTTCTGTTGACAGATCCATACTTCAGACTTCCAAGAGCATATTTTAAATACCTGGAGAACATCTTAGCAGAATTTGATAACAGTATTTTACACACCTCTCAAAATACGTTTTCTCCTTTGTTGAAATATATGGGGTTTTTTTCTAATAATAAACACTTACAGTTTCTTCAAAGACTCAGCAGATTTTATGGACAAAATATCTGCCACGTCTGACCTCAGGGATGTCACTTATCGGATCATGTGGGAGTCTGTGCATGAAGTTCCTTTTGTTTCAAGACAATGTCATGGGGACAGTATGTGCGCCACTTTCAGCAAACCTATACATGGGAAATTTGAGCCCCTCTAGATGTTTAATGACAAGAAAAAAATGAAAAAAAATGATTAATGGTGAATGTGAAATGAGAGCATGTATGTATGTTATCAGCATCTTTGGTTTTTCCACTGTGTTATGGTTTTTATCCAAAGAATTGTGCTTTTTTTTTAACTGAATTTTACTGAGCCGTACCAAAAACATATTGTGTTGTAAGGTAATAAAATGCACTGCCCCCGCGATGACCCAGCCAAGCCGGTTGTGTGTGAGATAACAAAAACACACGGCTCGGAACATCTAAGGCGATGGAGGTCGGATAGAGCACCACAATGGCTCACATAGATACAGCAGTCATCTCAAAGACAGTGATCGTCCCCAGAGCACACCTCTGGCCCCCACCCCCGGCGAGCTCAAAGGGGGCCAGTGGGTCTGCATCGCCTCAAACAAAGCCATAGACATCACCCATGGGCCGGCGATCCGGCAACGGCGTTCCACCACCCCCCCAGTGGACACGGGACGCCAATACACCTGAGACGGACAACTGAAACCACGGATGAATATGTTGTTTTGCTAACATCTTAAATCAGAAAACGTGTGTACCATTGCCTGTGAACAAGGTGTGTTGTGTGTCTATGTCTAAGTAACGTGTATGTGGTTAAAACTATGATTTCATGAAAGGAGTTCTGGAGGCGCGGAAAGTCGACGTCATAAGACACGCCCCCAGAGCCGGAACAAAAACAGAGACACAGCCACTTTTCGTGTTAACTTTTGCTTGTGAACCTTTTGGGAGCTCTCTTTGAAACTTTCTCTGGGCCAGTGGGCCGCGTCTTGGAGCGCGGCCCACTCCCCTGCGCGATCCAGGGGCCCACAACTTCAACCCAGGCGCAGGTTGGAGCTCGCTGCCCGGACAGCTGCCCGATCCTTTTCCCTATCGAGCTGAACTCGACTTGCCTGTCCCGCAGCGGCGTAACTGCTCTCCAACTCCCACCAAAAAGGAGCACCGTGGACCATCGCGCGTGTGTGTTTGACCGCCTGACCCAAACGGGTAGGAAGCATCTTCACCTCTGGGACTTGGCAGTAACAGTAAGACTTTCTGGAGTTGTATTGTGTGTGATGGTGATGTGTTTCTGACATTCCTGTTCATGTGACTTATCATACTTGTGTGATCCCTCCCGGTTACCTTTCACGTTTCTATATGTAGTTAATAAACCCACGCTAACTTTTAAGAGTCGTCAGTGTTCTTTGTATAATTCATGATATCCCTGGCCGATATAGAGCTCAAGACCTATCAGATTATGAGACTGATCGAGGCAGAATGGATCTGTGCAGACTTTTCGAACTCTGCTGGTGCCCCTCTTACTTGAAATTTAGATCCATTCAACCCGGAGTAGGCGAGGCTTAGGACTACGTTTGCGGCGTTTAATACCGACACAAACTGATACAAAGCCTCCCCTCTCCACATACAATTTTAATACCCTACAGTGTCAAATCCTATAAAGTTTATTGTATCTAGATTGTGTCATGATTCAGTGTCGGCAAGATATGAACGATAAAACAGGGATTGGCAACACACAGACAGAATTAACACATTGGATCAAAAAGTCAAAACAAGATGGGTTAAGACATGAATATTGTCTGTAAATGGTACAATACTGGTCAACAGCAGGGAAACTATTGTATATCCAAGTCCAATTTCTATTAAACTATTATTTTCAGAGCATCTCAAAAAGGGTAAATACTAACACATGCTTTTAGTCCCATAGAATTCCAATGTGCACTGTTTGTCAGCTCCTGCTCTCTTTCACTTCCCCAGACCCTGATGCCATCTGTACAATAACATTTTGGTCTCTTTCTCTCCTCAACTGGAGCCATATTCATTCTGTCAAAGCTACAGCTCTCACAAAGGACTGCATGCATGACAACAGCGGGGGAAGGCATTGATGAAGGAGAAAAATGCATAGGAAATAACACAAGACACTGAACATGGGGAGAAAGCCGGGCATCCGCAATTGAATTACAAAGAGCCTTGGAGCATAACATGTATTGTATGCAAACGTGGGAAGGAGAGGGAGGAGTGGGTATTTCTAATCAATGCATCGTGTATTGTTAGTCATATACAGAGATGTGTGTCCATTCTGTCTGATAACGGACAGCTTTCAGAACATTCTCTTTATCTTCATCTTTAGTTGAGAGCTGTGGCAGATGAGCGATGCTAATGCAACATTACCAACAGGAAAAATGAGCTCTAATTTTAGAGGAGCTCAGTCAAAAAAGGAGAAAATTGACTCTAAAAATGGGATCGAAAAAGACAAACAGAGAGTATATCAGATGTAATATTGCTCATGAATCCAAGTCAAGAAGTTTATGGAACAAAATACACTGATTTGCGTTCTCCCTCAAAATGATTTAGACAAAAGATGCAATTTGACTTTGTTTGGAGTCAAGACCAAACAGTTTTATCGGGGCCGGGTATTTCTGTATGGCAACTAATCTCATTTTAAATCATATCCTGTATTTCTTTTACATCCTGAACTAATCCTCAAGTAGAATAAACAAAGTGCATCATGTTCATAATGATCACTGTTTCCTCTTTCTCTTTGGTCCCCAGAAACAAAGAGAGAGTGTCTCTGTCACCTCCAGTCCCTTTCCCTAAAACCTTCAAACCAGGTCAGAAATCTAGGGGTAATACTGGACTCAGACTTAAATTTTAATAGCCACATCAAATCAGTAACATCAGCAGCTTTTTACCATCTTAAAAACATTGCCAGGATCAAAAACATAGTGTCTAAAGCAGACTTGGAGATTCTTATCCATGCATTTGTCTCCAGTAGGTTAGACTACTGCAATGGCCTGCTCACAGGTCTGTCCAAACAGGCTGTAAAACAGCTGCAGTACATTCAAAATGCAGCAGCTCGAGTCCTGACTAGAACCAGGAAGTACGACCACATTAGTCCAGTTCTCAGGTCTCTGCACTGGCTTCCTGTGGCTCAGAGAATAGACTTTAAAACAGCTCTGCTTGTGTACAAGTCTCTCCATGGCCTCGCACCAAAATATATTAGTGACATGTTAGTACCATATGAACCAGCCCGGACTCTGAGGAGCACAGGGACTGGACTCCTGTTAGTGCCCAGAGTCAGAACTAAACATGGGGAGGCTGCTTTTCAGATTCATGCTGGTAAAATCTGGAACAATCTTCCTGAAGATGTGAGACAGGCCTCCTCTCTGACAATGTTTAAAACCAGGTTAAAGACAGTTCTGTTTAGCTGTGCATACAACTGAGGGATTTTATATTTCTATCTTTCTTTTTAATGTTCTCTGATTATTTATGATTTTAATGCTTTCTTATTTTTGTTCAGTACTTTGAGTTGCCTTGTGTATGAATTGTGCTATACAAATAAACTTGGCTTGCCTTGCCACTGTGCCCCGCTTAAGGAGAACAACAGAAGTGATCAAACCTTTTCTTCCAGCACTCAGCAGTGAAAACTTGCTCCTAAAGAAAACATATTGAGTTCCACGTCTGCAGTCTTTATCAATGGCACCATGGATTATTGTTACATTAGAAATCTCATTATTTCTAAAACAATGCAATACAATACTTCTGCATATGTCTGTATTCAGTCACGGAGATGCATCTTTTCCATAAACCTGGGCACATCAGAGGCACCGCTCAGACGGCACACACAGGACTCTGTCTCCTTTGTGAATAGAAGTCTATTCATGTCTCCCAGACTAAAAACACAATATGACTTAAACATAATGCATGTTTAAGTAATGTTCTCTATAATAAATGGTAAGTGTGAAGGGCAAATAATGAATCATTGTCAAAAGCTGTGAAAAGTCTGTTTTGCATAAATGTGCACTTTTATTCCAGTTACTGTATTTCCAGCAGTGAACAGATTATTTGGTTAATCTTAGTTATTAGCTATAATAGTAAAAGCAAAAACTATCTAACTAATTTACTATCTCATGTTTTATTTTTATTTTATTTGCCCTTTTTCAACACAGTAGCTTCTAATTCTTTGTCTTTTTTACTTTAATGATTATTTCTCACGGATCAACATTGTAACACAAACAGGCTTGTTATATCCAATCTTAGTTTCACATTGTAAATTGTAAATTATATTAAAGAAATAAATGGACTTAACAATATTCAAGTGTTTTACCTGGATAAGTCCTGGTTCTTTGGATACAAATGATGACCTCTGTCTGACGGGACAATCTCTGCAGTGAAGTCATGTGAAAGTGCTTTTCTTTGTGCCGTCAAACACACTTCTGCTTCGTTTTGGCCTGTTTACTTTGAATTTACTTTCTGTCTGTGTGCACTCAGCTGTTTGGGATTCACCCGAATGGACAGGATCAATGCTCGGCTCTTTACTCCGGTCTCCAGTGCCTTCCGAGGTAAACGCCCAAATCAAGCAGAGAAGAAAGAGCCCAAAATTTTTGAGAATCGACATAAGCGTGTGATGAATATGCACTGAGGGATTAATGAATGGCCTCTTCCAAATCACCATGGACAAAATGAGAAACGAAAAAGACAAAACAGTACATTTTAGACTAATATTGAAGTATTTGGCTAAGTATTTGTATGCACAATGTTCTAAACAATTAAAAAGTACTCTCTATCAAGTAAGCAGGAGTCCTTGGGGTATGTATAAGTATTGGGCAGACACAGGCCTTGTTTATAGTGGTCTTATCTAATCCTGGATAGAACACTTAGCATTTCCCAGCAGCATAAACAACACTTGAAATTAAACATTATTTGTAGTGACATAAAATTCAAGCTCTAATAGAAAACAAAACTTCCAACTTCACCAAGTGCAAACTGCGCAAACTTGGCATCACCAAAAATAGCAGCTTTGGCAAGACATGACTCCAGGCAACAGGAGATTGGCAGACATGAGCAAAACAATATTTAAATATAAAGGGAAAGGCAGTAACAGGAAGAAAACAAGTAACGCTCCAGGCTGAAAATATGCTAAACGCCGCTGACCCCAACATTCCTCGACACCTAACTCTGAGAGATTTAAATAACGACGAAGGAATCATTTTAGGAGCTATAGTCACAAAACACAATGTATACTGTGACATTTTCCTGGTTTCAGATGCAAGAGAGATGTAATGGACTGTGTTAGATAGGAAGTTGCTGAACTTTCCTGACATGTGGTAAACATTTTAGTGAAAAATGTAGAAACAATTGAACCAAGCATTTGTTAACTCTGTGTCTAATTTTCTTGGAAATCAATTATATCCAACCAATTTAAGAATGGCTGTTGTATCTTCAGCTTGTTTCAGTACTAGTACCAGATGGCAAAATAGTTTTCTGTTCGAATATAACGAGAAAACATTAGGAATTCAAAAAGATTATCATGAAATTCTGAAATCATTGTGAATAGATCAGAATCAGATTCATTTATTTGCCATTTGCAGTAAAACCACATTGGAAAAACTGCGCAAGACTACCCCAGTGTGCAATAGCAGCTTGGGACAGTATATGGTACCATTTGTGAGCCTTCCGTGTGTCTTTTCTATTGTTCTAATGGTTTGATCTTCTATAATCTGATCCAAAAATCAACATTTCTTTGAGACATTTAGTGAAATTTTGCGCGCTACGAATAAAAATGTAATCGGAGTTGAGCATCACTTGGATTTAAGGATGAAGTAACGACAATAACACAATACCTGGTGTACCACAAGTGAACAGAGACATGAGATATGATCGACATCACTTTCACGATACAATTGGAAGAAAAGCCTTGTCCTTTGGTTTAGCTGCGAGTGATTTCAAAGGGGAGAAAATCTGTAACAGGTCGGTGTGCATAAAGTACAGATCTCTGCCACGTGATCCTTAAATACCAGTTTAACCAAAAGTGATGTTCCTGCTGTAGGGTCAGGCCAACTCTTTGAGAAAGACTTTCAAAGTAATGAAAAAGGGAATGGAGACGGTCAAGTCAAAGTAATGTTAAGTCAAAGCAACACTTCTCTCAATGAGGTCATCACAGAGAACTCCTTTGAGTGCAAAGTCAAAGAACCACAAAGCGATCGGTTTTAAGGACTAAAGTTCTTGACGGGAAAAAAGATGACAATTTCCAACTCGAACCTACAAAAATAATAATGTTTCAGCCTTCATCTATTATGATCCATTGTTTGACTGTTCTGAAGTTTCATATTACAGACAGTTATGGATTGGCTTGCAGAAATTGATTCTGGAAAATGCAAACTTATCAGACATTTTTCTAATATTAAACAATAAAAGTTAGGTTGGAGGTTTTTATGGTAGACTGTTAGGAGTGGACTGACCGAGTGCTGTCGTCACCCACAGTGTTTTCCAAATGGTCAAGGTATTCTGATTTATTAATCCCAAAATCCCATGAGCACTTTCCTTCATTGAGTTAGAGGGTTAGCGTTGTCCATCTATTTACAGTATTTTATTTTATTTTTTCGACCAGTAGTGCCCCGGGATTGTCTGGTTTGACAACACATGGCCTTGTGTCATAAAAGTTCCTTGTCTCCATGCATTTCCTCTCCTCTATACCAATAACAACATGTAGGCCAACTGATTATAATGTTGTGTGTTCAGGTCTGAGAGCTACATACAGACCCTCGGGAATTCACGCAAAGATCATGTCATGTCTGCCAGCGATGAACCTCGGAGCTATGTGGTTTTCAGGAGCAAAAACATGGACAACATCGAATGGAACAATGGCAAAGGAGACAAGTGCAGAAGCTGAGAGCAAGTTGAGCTGGTTTCTCCCAAAAGCACCCTCCCTGGTTCTTGTAAAGATTATATAGAGAACTTCTGCAATAATATAAAGAGAGACAATTCACCATTGTCCAAACTGTGTGTGTCCACGCATTAAATACTTCCTTCAACTAAGTATTCAGTCTGCATCATTGATTCTTTTCCTCTGTCCACCTTACATCTTACTGGCCAACCTCTCAGGCCGGTAAGATGTAAGAGGGTTTGGGTCAGGACTGTGACTTCACCTACAATGAGACTACAGCTGAAAACACACTGTCCCATTCAAATAAATAAATACAAATATTGTATCACAGGGTTATTGTCAGTGTACTTTCTCTCCACTGATACATGAGGAGCAGCAGCAGAAGGGTGAAGCACTTTGGTCCCAGTCCTGTCGACGTTTCCCTCAGCAGCATTAGAGGGGCTCTTTTCCACTTTACCCATAACACCATGATCTCAGACTTTCACTCACAGTCTGTGGCGCTGCATACTCATTTACTCAGATTCACAGTCATTCAGACTTTATACTGCGTCACAATATGAAAAAAAGATTAAGTATTGCAGAATAATAATATCTTAGTGCAAGGGGAATAATCAAAAAAATGTGCGTCACAATATGAAGATCAATTGTGAGAAAAACCAACAAAAAAATGATTATATAAACTACTCGCTACAAAATGAGCTCACATTTCATAATACACACATTGAGTTGTGAATAACTTGTAGAGGACACTGAATTACCAGCATCTGGGTAGAGACATTAAAAGGGTAAAAATAAATACTTTCTTCACAAAATTACAACTTTTGGTGGCAGGGAATTTTCTATTACTCATCGCTCGGGAGTTGCCAACAGCTCGGCACCCCTTTATTTCAAATAAACGCCTCAATATTTCACTTGTTATGTTTCTCACAGCTATAACTGTAAATATCTAACTGTGTGCACTTGGATTGGTTACAGTTAGATACATTATTAGTTAAATACATTATTTTAGACTGCTTTAAGGTAAAAGATCTTTGCAAATTCTTTCCTGAAAAAGTAGCCATAGAAATGTTGGAGACCCGTGCAGCAATGTTTGGTTCAATTCAACAATCACTTTAATCTTTGTGATTTGAAGGTGGCTGAGTGGTTAGCACTCTCGCTTCACAGCTAGCAGGCCCTGGGTTCAAGTCCACCTCCAGCCAGGGCCTTTCTGTGTGGAGTTTGAATGTTCTTCCTGTGTCTGCTTGGGTTTCCTCCGGTTTCCCCTCCCACTTAAAACATGTACTTGCTCCCCTCTCTCTGGGGCCAGGACTCTCCTGAAATTCTCCTGAGATGTTTAGATGTCAGTGGGAAGGTCCTGGTTAAATAAAGGTCAATAATAATAATAAAAGAACCAAAGCAACACTATTCCGCCCTCTCTCGCTTCAAACACAATAAATATTGTCCACTCACCCTCAAGAAGCGCTTGGCGGTCTCCACCCTGGAGGGCTTCCGGTAATGCCCCAGAGGCATCCCCATGGGGCTTTCAAACATCATTTCCATCATCATCCCGGGAGCTTGGAGCAAGCTGCTTATCACAGAATAAACTAACTCTTATTTGGGACACCTCTTCAGTCAGCTGCCGCACACCAGCTCGTTCCTCCATTTATGAAGCTCTGAACATCAACTGCCACACCCAAACCATTACTGAGGATTTCCCAGCATGCACAAGTACACAAAAACATCACGACCAGTCCCTGTGTCTCCGAGCATCCACTGCACATTAGCAGGGCTCTAATGGAAGCCAGAGATGACCACGGACAAGATCGGCTTTCACTCTCAGCACCAGGGCTGACCGCACCACAAGAGCTGCCATAAATAAAGACTTGGCTGATTTAAATATAGCACAATAGCATTAGCGGTTACAGCTAATGAGCACAGCGTGGTCGGAGGGGATAAAGACTTTAAACTGTGAGCAGAGGTGGCCAAGCCCTCACACAGATGCACAGGGAATAATCAGTGCTAAACAAGTTATTCAGACATTAGATTCTGCACAAGATCGACTGAAGTCGTAACCGGGTTCAAATGTTTATATCAGGATTCAACGTGGCAGGCTACCGGTAATTTGGCATCTTGTTTTTTCCCTTTCTCCAGATATAGATTTCCTGTCAAGTCCAGAGGAGATTGCTTGTATCTTGAACTGTAAAAAGGCATTTTCTATTTTGCTGATTGGAAGAATAGTAGATGAACAGATCATAATTGAGAATAAGGTAACACAATAACAACCAATTTTATCTGTAGAGTTCGTCCAAATCTTTTGCCTCCTTCTATACAAAATACATGTTCAATTGAAAGCATGGATTCTGTGATTTCTTACAAGATGTTTTGTGTGTTTTTCATATAATTGATGAGAAAGCAAAAGGCAGAAAACAGTTTATGCATTTGCAGTAAACTTGGTGCCAAATTCCCTTTTATTCATTATGTACAGGGTAGGGATGTAAAAAACTATGCATTTTCATGACCGACCACCGAGCCTCATTAACCGGTTGAAACCGGTTAACCGCGTAGTTTAAAATAGTCCACGTTCTTTGAAATAACAGCCATTTCGAGCCGCGTACTTTTCATAAGTGCAGCTCTGCGTTCTACTGGATCAGAGCTGAGACAGCGGCGCCCAAACCCGCAACAGCTTCGGCACCTTTGCGCACAGAGAACTGCTTTTTTAATCTTCCCATTCTGCTGTGCTGCGGGTTAACCCTTTAGGCGCCAGAGTTTTGACGGCTTGTTCACATGGTCAGAGCAGCGAGTTACACCCCGCGTCTCGCAGGTCTCCGCTAAAGTTTAAAAGTGATGTGTGTGGATCTGATCTAATGACAAGGACCAGCAGCACAAACATGTTTCATGTGTTTGGGGCCGCGTATTTGCGAGGATTCTTTGGGCTGCGAGACACAGAGGAGCGCGACAGCCCGGTATGTGTGTGTGTACAATACATGTATGTATGTGTGTATATGTCTGTGTGTGTGTACAATACATGTATGTATGTGTGTATATGTCTGTGTGTGTGTACAATACATGTATATGTGTGTGTGTGTGTAAATATAAGCTCCAATGTAGTTCTGACCTGCACTAGTGTGGAACTTTGGCGGTAACAGAGGGGAGAGATGATGCGTGTGGATGTTACGTATGGAGAGGGGGAAGTGTGTGTGTGTGTGTGTGCGCGCGGGTGCGTGTGCGCGTGTGTGCATATGTGGAGCGTGCGCCATGAAAGTCGCCCGTAGTCTACTAATGCATTGGCGCACACAGCTAGATACGGACCCGCTCGTCACATCGTACAAATAGGGCTTAAAATAGCCTTATTAAGAGACCTCCCCTCTCCGCTTTTTCTTATTTTTAACCGACAGCTTTGACCGGTTAACGTTGTGACGGTCAACCACCGGTTAACCGGTCACCGATTTACATCCCTAGTACAGGGAGCGACACTACATCTCAAAAACCTTAAAGGGCTAATAGGCAGCTGCATATATGAAAAAAAACCACCTAACCCCAAAAAAATTCTAACAAAAGGTTTCTCAGATGTTTTTTGTAGTATTAGGTGTCCTTAAAGTGATTGTCTGGAGTTTGTCAGAAAGAGAGACAGAGAGGTACTTGATTTGAAAAAAACGACGCAAGCTCCCTCCCCCTTCCTTTCTGATTGGTCTACACCTACGTTTCCGTAACACTTTGAAATGTTAATCAGAGAACACATTATACATATACATTATTAATACACATGCACAGAGGTTTTCAGAATTATTTGTGAACGTTTTAATGAAAAAAATAATGTTTTAATGCACAAAAAAAGCGATTGCGGCAAACCAGGAAGTGCTATTATTATGAATTGCACATTATAGGACACATCTGCAGAGGATTTGATTATGGATATAGCTTCAGTATATACATAAGTACCTCAGCGCAGATGTTCAGAATTCTTTGTTCAGTTTTCATGTAGTTCCAGAGCCTAATAGAGGCTTGATTCGGAGGCTCCGCGAAAACAAACAACTGCGCATGCGCGCAGCTGCGAGCATCAGCGCCGATGATTGACAGCCCTTGGCATGACTCGATTGGTTAACCTCGACGGCACAGTGGATTCTGAACTATAGCTAAGACCAGGGAAGGTGGGACTTGCCCGTAATATTAGAATTAATAAAATTACTTATTTTATATCAACATTTAAGGCCAGGAGGTCAATTTAACACATTTCCTAAAATTTGTAATTCATTTAGAGTTACAGACTATCACTTTAATAACATACAAAAAGTTTACCAAAGTTTGACCACTAGAAATGTGTAATTTTCAAGATGGCGTCCAAGATGGGCAGGAAGCCCTTAACATATCCTAACTCCTTCAATATTTGACCTAGCCAACTAATCTTGGTGTCTAACCCCATGTTTTCTGGGTCTATGAATCCATTGGACTTGTCTAAATTGCCCTGAGATTATTACATACTTATGGAATACATGATTTTTTTATATTACGGTTTTATATTTGGGGTGAACCATTCTGAAGTCCTTAAAGTAATTGATAAACATGCCCCATCTAAAACTATTTGCGTAAAAGGACGGCATCTTCCATGGACTAGCTCTGACGTAATTAATCCTTTTAAACGTCGAAACCAAGCTTGGACTAAATACAGAGAGTCTAAGGACCCTAACGACTGGGAGATCTATAGACAACTCAGGAATCAATCCAAAACCCAAACTAGGAATGCCAAGTCCAATTACTATAAGGAAGCCCTCGGTCTGAACTACAATAATCCTAAACCATTTTGGAAACACCTGGACCAGCTTCTGGGTAGGTCCAAAAGAAACTCAACCAATCATGTTACTGTTAATACTACTACCATTGCTGATCTTAACTTTCTGAATGCTTTAATGAATATTTCTCCTCCATAAGTAGTAAGTAAGTACACAGCACTCTGGTCATCCATACTTACCTAATCCAATAAATGACGTTGCTCTTGAGACATCAATTTCTTTTAATCAAATATCACATTTGGATGCAATACAAGCTATAAACGATTTTAAAACTAACAGTTGGCTGGTCCAGACGGCTTAGAAGTAAAATACCTTTTATTGGGATCCAGTGTGCTTATCTATCCACTAACTGACCTGCCACTAAGTACGTGCTCTGTCCCTCTCATCTGGAAAACTGCAAGGGTTACTCCCATCTTTAAAGGTGGAGACCACTCCGATGTCAGTAACTATCGGCCCATCTCTATTATATGCACTATCACTAAAATAATGTAAAAGTTCCCATGTTATCCAATGGAGACTGCATGGACACTCTGACAGATTGTATGTGCAAACAGGAGCACATTTACAAACTCTGATTTGCACTAAACTTGACTCTGTTGTTCAACTCCTGGGCCTAGGTCACATGACAGTGTGAACAATGACATTGGCATTGGTATTTAGGTTTTCTATTGTTCGATCTCATATTTGACCCACTGAACAAACACGAAAACTCACCAAACTTTGCAAAAAGTTTTTTTCAGGCATAAAGTGTATTATTTTGGTGTTCTTTGGTATAAGACAAAAAAATTGAATTTGTAGGGGCCACTATTGTGCAACATAAATGTCAACATTTGCACATGGAAAGTTCGAATTGCACAAAATTTGAATTGATTGTTCAACTCTTGGGTTTGGGTAACTGAAAGTGTAAAAGATGAAATTGCAGCAATAGCGCCCCCTACAGACTGAGTCAAGTGTTACATGGGGAGAATGAAAAAGGCAGTGTCACTCCCGTCAGCGCCCCCTCCTTTGCGCGGTGCAGCGAGGGCCGTTCGACGCCGCTTGCGGCTTTAATATATATAATTGTACTTGTAATCACTTATTTTTCATGCAAATTTAATAATTAGAATATTATATGACCAAATATATCAGACACCAATATTCCTGGTCTAAGAGAAATACAAAGGAGTAATGGTCATTTTAAGGACCTGATGGCTGCCATTTTGAAAATGGGGCCTTTTTTGGAGTCAAACTTTGGGGTCAAGCCATATTTGCAGCTGACTATAAAGCGAAACAAGCCTTAACACAGGGATGCCAAACAAATAAATCCTTTAATTCGTTTTATTAGGATTAGTACAGCCTGGCTTCTTTCAGTCTACCCCAGGGCAGCTGTGGCTACAGTACTAGACTGCAGTAGTATGGTAATACATTTAAAGAAGAATACCATGCTTGTTTACAGTATTTTCTAATATAGTCACACTCTGTTACACCTGTAGTTAAATATTGATCCAAAACAAAGTAACAAAATAAATACAATAGTTTGCACACTTCCACCTGAAACATAACAAGTGGTTTGCTCCAATATTACACACACATAAAACCCTTCACCCTTGTAATCACAAGACGCACGAAAAAAGTGCAGTGCTAGTGTGGCTTGTTGGCCACACTAGCACTGCTCTGGTCCTTTACAGTAAATAATACACTGCTTCTGTGTGCTTCTGCTGTCTCTGGTCCTCTCGGCCTTGAGCGGTCGGACAGCGCTGACAAACTGTGACAGATAAAGCGTGGAGCTGCGTGTGGACT